ATCAAAGCAGAAATGAATGAAATACAGGCTAAAAAAAAACCAATACAAAAGATCAATGAAAACTAAGAGCTGGTTCTTTGAAAGGATATAACAAAATTGGTAAATCTTTAACAAGACTCATCAAGTAAAAAGAGAGGACCTAAATAAATAAAATCAGAAAAGAGAAGTGACAACTGACTCAACAGAAATACAAAGAATTATAAGAAAATACTATGAGCAATTGCATGACAACATACTGGAAAATCTGGATGAAATTCCTAAAAACATACTATCTCCCAAGACTAGTCAAGAAGAAACGCAAAATCTGAACTAACAGATTACTATCAAAATCAAATCAGTAATCAAATTCCCAAAAAAACAAAAGTCCTAAACTTAATGGCTTCACAGGTGAATTCTACCAAACATTCAAAGAAGAGTTAACATCTATTCTTCTCAAACCGTTCCAAAAAAAATCAAAAGGAGAAAAGGTTCCCAAGCTCATTTTACAAGGCCACCATTATTAACCTGATTCCAAAATCCAACAAAGAATTTACAAAAAAAAATTATAGGCAAATATCTTTGATAAACATACATGCAAAAATCCTTAACAAAATATTAGCAAACTAAATTCAGCACTACATTAAAAAGATTATACATTATGATCATGTCAAATTTATTACTGGGATGCCAGGTTGCTTCACTAACCTTAAATCAATTAACATGATATACCAATTGAAAGATAAAAATCATATGATCATATCAATAGATGAAGAAAAAGCATTTAGGACAAAATCCAGCATATAATAAAACCTCTCAGCAAAGTGTGAATAGAGGAAACACACTTCGGCATAATAAAATGCATACATGACAAACCCACAGCTAACTCTACACTCACTAGGGAAAAGCTAAAAACATTTTCCTGAAGATTAGGAACAAGACAAGGATGTCCACTTTCACCATTTTATTCCACATAGTATTGAAAATCCTAGGCACAGCAGTTGGACAACAAAAAGAAATAAAAGACATCCAAATTGGAAATGAAGAAGTAAAACTGTCACTACTTGCAGATGACATGACACTACATATAGAGAACCCTAAAGATTCCACCACAAAACTGTTAGAACTGATCAATGAACTCAGTAAAGTAGCAAGATACAAAATTAATATTCAGAAATCAATTGTATTTTATACACCAATAATGAACTATCAAAAACAGAAATTAAAAGAATCCCATTTACAAGTGCATCAAAAACAATAAAATATTTAGGAATAAGTTTACCCAAGGACGTATAAAACCTATACTAAGAAAATTATAAGTCATTAAATAAATTGAAGCTACAAATAAATGGAAACATATACCGTGCTCAGAGATATGAAGAGTTAACATCATTAAAAAGTCCATAATACCCAAAACAATCTATAGATTCACTGTAATCCCTATCAAAATATCAATGGCATTTTTCACAGAACTAGAATAATCTAAAAATGTATATGGAACCATAAAAGAGCCTGAATAGCCATGGCCATCTTGGGAAAGAAGAACAAAGTTGGAGGATCATGCTACCTAATATCAAACTATACTACAAGGCTATAGTAATCAAAACAGCATGGTACTGGCATAAAAACAGACACATAGATCAATGGAACAGAATACGGAGTGCTGAACTAAATCCACACCTATATGGTCATTTAATCAATGACAAAGGAGGCAGGAATATACAATGGGGTTAAAGCTAGTCTCTTCAATAAATGTTTGGAAAACTGGACAGATACACACACAAAAATGAAATTGGACCACCTTCTTACACCCTATACAAGAAAAAACTCAAAATGGATCAAAGACTTAAATGTAAAACCTGAAACCATAAAACTCCTAGATGAAAACACAGGCAGTAAATGCTGCTGTTGCTCTTAGTAATTTTTTCCTGATATATATCCTCTTGGGCAAGGGATACAAAAGAAAAAATAAATGAGACTACTTCGAACTAAAAAGGTTTTGCACAGCGAAGGAAACCAATAACAATACGAAAAGACAGCCTAGAATAGGAGAAGAAAAGTGCCTATGATATACCTAATAAGGAGTTAATATTCAAATTTATAAAGAACTCGCACAACTTAATACCAAAAAAGTAACAATCCAATTAAAAATGGGCAGAGGACATGAATAGACATTTCTCCAAAAAGGACATACAGATGGCCAATAGACATATGAAAAGATGCTCAATATTACTAATCAGAGAAATGAGAATTAAAACCACAATAAGATACCATCTCGCACCTGTCTAAATGGCTATCATCAATAAATCAACAAACAAGTGTTGGTGAAGATGTGGAGAAAAGGGAACTCTCATACACTGTCATTAGGACTGTATATTGGTACAGCCATTATGGAAAACAGTCTGGAGGTTTCTCAAAAAATTAAAAATAGAACTACCTTATGATGCAGCAATTGCACTTCTGGGTATTTATCCAAAGAAAACCAAAACACTTATCTAAAAAGATATATGCACCCCTGTGTTCACTGCAGTGGTATTTACAATAGCCAAGATATGGAAGCAACCTAAGTGCCCATCAATAAATGATTAAGGAAGTTATGCTGTGTGTGTATATATATATATACTGTGTATGTATTGATTTGTGTGTGGGCGCACACACACACATACATACACAATGGAAATATTAGCCATAAAAAAATGACATCTTACCATTTGCAACAACATGGATGAACTTCGAGGGTATTATGCTAAGTAAAAGAAGTGAGAGTAAGACAAACACCATATGATTTCAGTTATACGTGGAATCTAAAGAACAAAATAAACGAACAAACGACAAAAATAGACGCACAGATACAGAGAACTGGTGGGAGGAGGGTTTGGAGGCTGAGTGAAAAAGATGAAGGGATTAAAAAGTATAAATTGGTAGTTACAAAACAGTTATGGGAAGTACAACATAGGGAATATAGTCGATAATATTGTAATAAATGTGTATGGCGCCAGGTGGATTCTAGACTAATTGGGAGACCACTCTGTAAATTATGTAAGTATCTAACTACTATACTGTACAATGTCAATTCTAATTGAAAAATAAAAATTAAAAAAGTCATGACAAAGTTCCACACAAAAGAACAATTATAAAATTTTAAAGGCCTTATATATTAGCATTTCATATCAATAAAACTAATCTCAAGGGGCTTAAATTCTACCTCTGAGACACCAATATACAAGATACAATAACCTTTAGTACAACCAACATTGGATATTAGTAATGTCTGATATCATCAAGAAGAGCATATAAAAGGAGAAAGAGCTCAATTCCCCCAAATTTTATCTTCACTACCAAGGCTGGCCATCTATTTGGAAAAATTCATATTTCTGCATCGTACAACTGGAGAGACGTCAAAGGTATAGAACACAGACATCAGAAAAGTAACTTATTATTTCATTATACTGGTGTACTGTGTTTTAAAATTGTTCTCAACTGATCCAGGAAAAGAAGCTATTTACATAAGTCAAGTATGGTAAGCAAAAAGTTCCCTTTAAACTACAGAATCTATAAAAAGATATGTTTTAAATGCACTTAAGATTTTTTGTTTTTTGAATTCTAATCCTCTACTGCTGTGGCATTACAAAACTTACTGTCCCAGTGTTTGAAAATTCAAACAATTTTGGCATTACAATTCCATCTAACCTTAAAATGGAAATGAGTTGAAAGGCAATTACAGAGTAGAGTAATAACTAAAAATTCTAATATAACAAGGCCTGATAAGAGGGCAAGGGCAGCAAGAGTATCATATGGTGCTTCCTCCTTCCGCCTGGGTTGCAGGCACTTACCCTACACACATAGCCCAATTCTTCCACTATTCAGAAGGGCAAGCAGCAAAAAGAGGGATGCTACCTGCTTGGCATTTCTAATCACTGCTACAAAAGTAACACCTAGCATAACACAAGGAAGCAGGCTGTCCCTAATTCTTAAAGCCTTAGGGAATCTCTACCAGATCTTAGTTTCACAGCACAACTAAACCTAAGAAACATATGCAAACATTAGCTGCAAGCCCACTTAGTTTAAGAAAAACAAAAAACATCACAATGTGCACCACGGCAGCCTCAACATTAGAAAAAATAGGCTTGAATTGTTTGACTCTTGGCTGTCACTGAAAAAATATGCCACTACTTCTTTACTTACCAATGTTTAAAAATGTGTCCCTATTTTCTGTCAAAAAACAAAAGCTTTTAATCTAGTTTTCCATATACTATTTTGGGAAATAATCTCAAAGTATTCAACGGTGACTTGAAAATATAAGGAATGAGAACTAAACAAACCTTTTCATTCTCAAAATTTTCTTGCATGCCAAAACACTGCAAAATATTTTTATGCATGACTTTAATGAAACATTAATTCATGCAATCCTTTAAATGCACTACACTTATATACACTGTAAAAGAGAAATACCGTTTTGTGGACACGTTGTAAAGGTGCACCTCTCTATTCCAAATTTAACCAAGACTGGGCCACGAAACGTCCTTTCTGAAGAAAACATTAAAAGTCTTTTAAACCAGAAAAACGAACACTAAGTTTCTGCCAGGAAAATGGAATAATCTTTACTTTGTTGGTAGACAAAGTAAATAGTTTACACATTTGAAATGATTAAAATCATAAGAACCTAAATTACAGAAACAATCGCTGCTTCCCCATTTTTCATCCATTTTCCTGATCTGATCTAATTTGAACCTTAAAAAGGCCCAGAGGACATTCTTGAGCAATGATTCCACCTGGATAGCAACACCCGCCGCCCACCGCACCGGCACGAATCCAGCTCCGCCTCTCAGGCTCCGCGTCCCAGGGCCCCATACCCTGCCCGGCCCTGAGGGACAAAGCTCAGCGGGTCCCTTCCGGGACGTGGGACCACCCCAGCGGCGGGTTCGACCTTGGCACCGCCCCAGGCCACCAGCACAAAGCATCGCACTTCCGGCCCGGCAGCAGCGCGAGCCCCCGCCCCACCCGGGGCTCCAGCCGGCACTCACCACGCCGCGATCGTTGCGCCGGCCTCGGCCACGGGGACCAGCGCTCGCTGGCCCGGGGCGGGCTTGGCGGTGGGACTTTGCGAGGGGCGAGCGCCTCGGAGGCCTGCTCCGATACGGGACTGAGTCGCGATGCCCCAGTGTTCTACGCACCCTCGGACCCGCCGGCCTACCTTCCTGTCTGCAGCCGGCGCTGCTCACCGAAGTTGCGCAGCCACGACCGCCAACCTCACTTCCGCTTGGAGCGCGCTGCTGCGGGTGCGCACGGGCACGTGACTCGACGGCGCTTTCCGGGCTCAGGTGGCGACGTGCGCGCTCCCGTCTGCGTCCGGAAAGCCCCCGGATCTAGGGATCGAAACGGTCTGGGTGCGTTGGGGAACCCTAGGGTGAGGAGCATGGAAGGCAGATATCCATAGAGGTCTATTGCGCCCGCGAGGATATCTCTGTTACCCTTTTCCAATAAACGCTCGTAGGGAATGTTTTTCTTAAAACTATTTTTGCATTCCTACTGATGCAGTAAGGAAAGAAGAACATAATGGAACATAATTATAGCGTTTTATTAACGTCTTATGAGAAAAATGTATTTGAGTACGTATTTTAAAACAGCCGCTGCCCTTCAGGAACCTTCGTGTAAACACAGATGCAAGGGCGCGATGCTGATTGGTGACCCACTTCTGGCTGTGATGCTCAATGATGACAGCTGAGCACCAGGCTCAACTCCTGCAGCCAGGGCTGATCTAGTAGGGGTGAGGGTAAATGCTGCCCCACTAAGAGCACGCTTCAGGGATGATGTGCAGGTACCACACAATGGCCACCAGCATGGACACAGTGCTCACTCTACCAATCACTTTTCAATGTAATGTATTCGTTAAGTCATAATCATTTTACAAATGAAGACATCAAGGCACAAAGAAATTGACAAACTTCTTCAAGAACACACAACTAGGAAGCTGACCCCGGATTCAAACTCCAACATCTGGCTTCAGAGTGCTTGCTCTTAAAGAATTTCTGGCTTTTAGCTTTCTCATGTTGACCACAAGAAGGAATGTATCTTCCCGAAAGGACTCCTCATGTTTAACTAGGCACAAATGCATAATCAGAGTCTAGCAGCCATTATGTACAGAAGCCTCTCGTGCACACTGCATATCAGGGAAAAGCCACAGACTGAGCTACCAAACTGCCTGCATTGCAAGCCTTCCTTCCAAGCTCAATTTTACAAAGCAGGGGTCCCCAACCCCTGGGCTGCGGACTGTTACCAGTCAGTGGCCTATTAGGAAATGGGCCTCACAGCAGTGAGTGGCAAGTGAGCGCAGATTCATCTCTATTTGCAGTCGCCCCCCAGCGCTAACATCACCACCTCAGCTCCACTTCAGATCACCAGGCATTAAATTTTCAGGAGCACAAATCCCTGATGTCAAAAAGGTTGAGGACCACTGTTATAAAGGAGTTCCTGAAATTGTATTTTGTCTAATGATCTGAGACCTTCCCTGCCAATCCAAGGGGAGGTGTGCAGCTATATTCTCATTTACATCTTTACCGACTAATCAAAATAGCTCCATAATGACTACGAAAAACTGCTTTGGCCAAATGCACCATAAGCATAGTTAAAAGACAAATGATTAAAAAGGAAGAAATAGTTCCAACACATATTATAGACAAAAGGCTAATTTCCCTAATGTTCAAAGAGCGTCTAGAAGTCAAGAAAAATTCCTACATCTCAATAGAAAAATAATTCACAGAAAAGAAAGTAAATGGCTCTTACTCAAGTGAAAAAAATTACAACCTCACTAGTAAAAAGAAAAATACAAGTTAAAACTCATTGAGATAGCATTTTTCACTTATTTGATTGGTAAGCATCAAAAAATTGACAGTACACTCTTGATGAGTCTATGGGGAAGCAGGCACATTGCAGGATTGGAGAGGAGCCATTCGATGATGTGTATTAAGACAATTTTACACAAAACTTTTGACCCAATATTTCCACCTCTGGGATTTTGTCTACAGAGATTCTTGCTGATATGTAAAATGGAACTATTTCAAACTCATTTATCGCAGCATTGCTGAGAATAGCAAAATATTGGAAACAACCCTAGTGTGCATCGCTAAGGGATGAACTTAATAAACTGGCTCATCTATACTGTGTATTACTCTATAATTCAAAAGAGAAATGAGCAACCTTTCTGTATACTGAGATGAAAATAGTTTCAAGATAGACTGTTAAAACAACAAAGCAAAAGGTAAAACTGTTGTTATGGACCAAATTGTGTTCTCCCACCTCCAAATTCATATGGTGAAGCCCTAGACCCCAGCACCTTGGAATGTAACTGTATTTGTGATTAAGGTTAAAAGAGCTCAGTAGGGTGGGCCCTAATTCAACCTGACTGGTGTCTTCATAAAAAGAGATTAGGATACAGACAATGCAGACCCATGGACAACCATGTGAGGACGCAGAAGGTGACTATCTGCAAACAGAGGTTTCAAGAGAAAACAAACCTGTTGGTACCTTGACCAGGGACCTTCAGCCTCCAGGACTATGAGAAATTTCTGTTGTTTAAGCTGTCTTGTCTGTGATATTTGTTAGGGCAGCCCTAGCCAACTAATATAACTGTGTTAAAGAACAATGTATAAAAAAGAAAACATATGTTTATATTTACTCATATACAAATACAGAAATAGTTTTAAAAATCCAAGGAACTAACAGCAGTGATTACCTGTGGTGACATTAGGTACAGAATGGGCCCTGAGCAAGTGAGAGACAGGGGTGAGAGGATAGTTTTCTTTTTACCTAAATTTTTTAAAATAAAAAAAAAGTTTTACAATTTAAGTTTCAATTTCAGTTGGCATAAAATATTGTATCAGAGTCAAGTGTACAACACAGTGATTACACATTTATATAACTTACAAAATGATCACCTAAATAAGTCTAATACCCACCGATACCACATATAGTTATTATAATATTATTAACTATATTTCCTATGCTATACTTTACATCCCCGTGACTATTTTTTTCAACTGGCAATTCGTACTTCTTAATCTCTTTCCCACCCATCCCCCAACCAGCCTTCCATCTGGTGACTATCAATTTTTTCTCTGTATCTTACGTTTGTTTCTGTTTTGTTCATTTATTTTGTTGTTTAGATTCCACATATAAGTGAAATCATATGGTATTTATATTTCTCTGACTTATTTAACTTAGCATAATACCTTTTAGGCCTATCCATATTGTTGCAAATGTCAAGATTTCTTAATTTGTGTGTGGCTGAGTAATAGTCTGTTGTACTTATATACCACTTCTTTATCCATTCATCTATCAATGAACACCTAGGTTGCTTCCATTTTGTGGCTATTGTAAATAATGCTGCAATGAATATGAGGATGCATATGTATTTTTAAGTTAATGTTTTGAATTTCTTCAAATAAATAGCCAGAAATGGAATTGCTGGGTCATATGATAGTTCTAGTTTTAATTTTTTGAAGCTTCAAACTATTTTCCATAGTGGCTACACCAATTTACATTTCTAGAAATAGTGAAGGAGGGTTCCCTTTTCTCCACACCCTCACCAACACTTGTTGTTTGTTAACTTATTCATGATAGTCATTCTGATAGGTGTGAAGTGATATCTCATCAGTGGCTTTAATTTGTATTTCACTGGTGATTAGTGATGTTGAGCTATCTTTTCATATGTTTGTTGGTCATCTGTATGTCATCATTGGAGAAATGTCAATTCAGATCCTCTGCCCATTTTTTAAATAGATTGGTTTTTGGTACTAAGTTGTATGAGCTCCTTATATATTTTGGATATTAACAATTATCAAATGTATCATTGGAGAATGTGCACTTCTATTCAGTAGGTTGTCGTTTCATTTTGTTGATGGTTTCCTTTACTGTACAATAACTTTAGCTTGATGTAGTCCTATTTGTTTGTTTTTTCTTTTGTTACCCTGCCCAAGGAGACATATTACAAATATATGTATATATATGTATATATATACATGCATATGTATATATATATATTTATAGCTAAAGCAATGTCAAAGAGTTTACTGCCTATAATTTCTTCTAAAAGATGGTTTCAGGTCTTACATTTTTGTCTTGCATTCACTTTTAGTTTATTTTTGTATAAGGTGTAAGAAAGTGATCCACTTTCACTTTTTTTGCATGTATCTGTCCAGTTTTCCAAACACCATATACTGAAGTGACTGTCTTTACCTCATTGTATATTTTTGCCTCTTTTGTCACAGATTATTGGCCATCTATGCATTGGTTTATTTCTGGGCTCCTTATTATGTTCCTTTGATCAATGTGTCTGTTTTTATGCCAGTACCATGCTGTTTTGATTTCTATAGGTTTGCAATAGAGTTTGATATTAAGTAGTGTGATACCTCCAGCTTTGTCCTTCTTTCTCAAGATTGCTTGGGCTATTTCAAGTCTTTTGTGGTTCCATATAAATTTTAGAATTATTTTTTCTAGTTCTGTGAAAAACGCGATTGATATTTTGATAGGAATTGAATCTTTAGACTGCTTGGATGGTGCAAATATTTTAATGATGTTAATTCTTTTAATTTATGAGAATGATATATGAGAAGGATAATTTTCAGGGTTTGTTTATCTTTTTAACTATGTGAATATATCACACATTCTAAAATTAAATTACAAGTAAATAAGAATCTCACGATTTGGTTGGAATCTAAAACAATATAACCATTTTGGGAAAGTCTTGTCATTTCTTTAAAAAACTAAACTTATACGTATCTTATCACCCAACAAAGTTAGGTATCTGCCAAAGAAAAATATAAACATATATTTATGCAAAGAACTATACAGTAATGTCCATAACAGTTTTATTGATAATAGGAAAAATTGGAATAACTCTAACCATCTATCATCAGAAGAGCAACCAAACAAGTTCAGCGATGTACCAGTGCTGCTTACAATATCTTGCTCTGGCTCCTTCCTGAAAGCCAAAAGACATGTTATCAGAAATTTAGTAAGCCATTTCTCAAGTATTGCCATTATTAAACATTAAATTATAGAGACTTCATGTTAAAAATGAAAGGAACAAATACTCAAAACTCATCTCTTCCTAATTATTTTATTTTTTGCCTGTGCCCTGAGTATCTTTGCTATACTTTGACCTGCCAATGAAAATATCCTATGACAATGGGCTGCAGGGCTCCCCTCCCATCCACTTTCAGTGACATCACATTGGTAGCCTTAAACCACCACCTTAGGAATATTAC